AAAAAAAAAAAAAAAAGAGTATTAGAAATGTCAAAACAAAACAAACAAAAACCCAAAAAGTTGCCAGAGTCCTGTTCAAATTTTAGAATCTGGTTTAGTATCTTGGAACTTAGGATGATGGGATTCATCTGTAGGTACACTGTAAATACTATAGGTCTTTAACCAAAGAACATAGAATTTATATATTAACCATTTAGAAAGATATTTAACAAAAAATTTTTGGTACCACGGATTGAACTTGGGCCCTTGAGCTTGCAAGGCAGGCAGCAGAAAGTCTGAGCTAAATCCCCAGCCCGAAATTTAACTTCTTAATGGATAACTTTTAAGTTTTTTGGGTTTTTTTTGGTGGTTATCTCTGGGGATGGAACCCTCAGCCTTGCATGCTGGCCAAGTACTATAGCACTGAGTCACAATCCTAGTCTAGTTTCAAGTTTCTTTTTTCCTGGTACCAGGAATTGAACTAAGGACCTTGTGCTTGCCAGGCAAGCACAGTGCCACTGATTTACACCCTGGCCCCATTTTCAAGTTTTTTTTTGGGGGGGTCCCAGGGATTGAACTCTAGTCCTTGTGCTTGTGAGGCAGGCAGTGGAATCACTAAGCTAAATCCCCAGCCCTGAAATTTTAATTATATGAATTACTTTAAGGGGCCGGAGAAGTAACTCAGTGGTTCCAGCACTTGCTTTGCATGCACAAGGAACTGAGTTCAATTCCCGGTACCACCCCAAAAAATTACTTTAAGTATGATCATATTTCTCCTTATGCATAAGATAGTATATTTAAAATTATTTCATTGATATTACACATTTGTATTAAAAATTAAACGACAAAAAAGCCTGTTAAGAGTCCAAGCTACTTGGGAAGCTGAGGCACGAGGACACCAAGTTTGACACCATCCTATGCAACTCAGTAAGATCCTGTCTTAAAACAGCGTGAAGACCCTGGGTTCAATCAATTACTCCACCCCCCCAAAAAAGGAGAACCAAGCATTGCTCCAGTAAAATATAAAATCAAAATTTGAATGCTCGTATAGATCGTTTATTTTTTATAGAGAGCTTAGTATTTTTAGAGATACTGCCTTTAAGAAAATATCTGGGCATGGTGGTGCACACCTATGATCCCAATACTTGGGAGGCAAAGTCAGAAAGACTGCTGCAAGTTTGAAGCCATCATGTACTACATATAGGGAGACTATCTCAAAAAATAACAATTAAAAAAAAAAGAATAATACAGGCTCCAATGAAGTTTTTATCTGGTAAATTCCAGGTAAAAAAGACAATAGAGGGCCGGGGATTTAGCTCAGTGGCACTGCATATGCTGCACCTGCTGCACCTGCTGCACC